AAGATACTTCAATAATTAAAAGAATCATTAAACAATCTTGGCAACTTTATGGTAACGTCTACTGATTTTAACAATCTTTTCTATATTCATTTGTAGTATCACAATAGTACCATTTCAAGGTAACATCTCAATGACTCTCAAATATTCTCAAATAAATAAATAGAGCGTCATATTAAGCTGCAATTGAATGAACTAACGTCGACATGAACCTGAAACTGAGAAACCAAGAGTCCACTTCGGACCGCAAAGGGTTAAAAATATTTTCTTACAGAAATTCGCGTGCACCATATATGGTACACATGGCACTGAATGTGTTAGCCGGTCTGCCTTGCTAAATCGGTTTCTATTTTTACAGTTTCATCAGTCGCGTTCCCAGCGTTTTCTCGAGACACGGAAAGCTGTGTGCCCCGGCAGAGCCACGCGTCGAAACACAATACCGCGCGTTCTCACAACGAGGAACGGTGTCGGGTTACACAGGGATCCGTGGCCGCGAGCACACCGCTCCGAGCTCTCTTTTCTTTTAACTTTTCTTTTAGCTTTTCGGTGGTCCGATGATCTCCGCTATCGCGAACAAAGGGCTCCGTGTACAGCGTGATACGTTGCCGGCGACCAAAACCGATCCAAAAAGTAGAAGCAGCAGGCCCTCTTCGGCGAACGCTAGCAAACCCGTTGGATAATGAGGATTCATGAGAGGACAAAGAACGTAACGATGGATGAAATTGGCTAAATTAAATTTCAAGTGAATATTTAAATTCAAATTTGAATTATTTGAAAACTGTGTTACAATCTAGCGACACGTACCGATATTTTGGGTAGATTTGTTCCTATTGTAATCGGTGAAATAAGTGGTTGTAAGAGGAGGATGATATAGAAATTAGTATAACGTTACATCAACCAGGGAAACTAGAATTTTAAATGAAATTTGAAAACCGATCGTTTGACCGGTTCAGTATTAAATTTTGAATGTTATTGGAAATAGAAACTAGGAAAGAGAGATATTGAAATATTGATTAGACTGATAATATAGAAATTAGTATAAAATTACATGAACCACAAAAACTGTAGAATTTTAAATAAAATTTGAAAATCGATCATTAGACCGGTACGTTCATCGTGAACTTTTGACCGTCGATCAACTAGAATCCTCTACAACATTCGTCAATGGTGCGTGCGGTAAACAAGGCCTCTCGCAGTTTCCAACTCGGTCTACTTTCCTCTTGTCGCGTCGACGTCCGATTTCAATTATCTTCCCGATAACGTCGCAGATGATCTCGGGTTTGACCCGAAATTTATCGTTCACCCTGTATGTCTGACCTTTCAAGGCCGGGTCGTTTAAATCCCCCAATTTACATCTCGCGACTCGCACGAGCGTCCCCGATTCCTGGAACGAGAGCTTTCCATTCCAATTTATTTTCGAATATCGCGAGCAAAACGCGTTTCCAAGCTGGAGAAGAGCAGCCTCCCGTTAATTAAATTTCCTTCGACGGCCGATAATTGCGGCCCGGTAATTTGTACGCCGTGCAACAGTTAATTGAGAATAATAAACGCGTAATATTAACCTGTTAACTGGGGGGAACGAATTAGACTCGTCGGTTGTATTCAACTACGTCTTTCGATCGTTCCGGCTTTTTTTCTGCATTTTTTTTCCTTTTTCCTTTATGCTCGCTAGAATTCTTGCATCTAATCACACTAAAATATCCGTGACAACGCTGTGTCCATGCTTTATTCGCCAACGGATCGGTTCAAATCGCTCGTCGACGTTCCCTTCGTCCTTACGCCTGACGAAGCGGACAGGTTCGTTTCCTTCAACCGTTAACGGTCACGTGGGACTGTCACGTGGTCACTGACCGGAGTTTTCAAATTGAAAGCAATAATAATTCCTGAGACAACTAGGGTTGAATAATAATATTTAATAACCTGAATAATTTAATCACACCCTAACCTATTAATTGCCTACCAAATAGTTGATAATTCTTTTTAATTTCTACTACAAAGAAATAAGTGTCATATAAAATGCTCGAATTTTTCCTGTCAAATTGTCAACGGTCACGCGATTGCCACGTGGTCACTGACCGGAGCTTCCAAATTGAAAATAATAATTCCTGAGACAACTAGGGTTGAATAAAAATGTTTAATAACCTGAATAACTTGATCACACTCTAACCTATTAATTACATACCAAATAGTTGATAATTCCTTCTTATTTTCACTACAAAGGAACAAATGATAAAACACTCAAGTTCTTCCTGACAGTATTAACTGTCACGTGACTGCGCATAGAAAAAATCTACGAAATCTATCGGAACTAATGAACAAAATTATCGACGGCGAGTAAGTTCCAAAATCTCAGGAAAATCTCGTCGATATTGAAAGGTTTGCTTACCTCAGCGCCAGATGGAGATGCGACAAATATGGCGGACGCGCCGGGGGCGGAAAATTTTCGCGGGCTCTCGCCTTAATGGGAGGCCGGACCGGTCGAGCCACGAAAATCTCGACGGACGCGCGTGCAAGACGAATCCGTGGTATGAGAATCCTCGAGAATTCGGAGTATTCTGTTGGTCGTGTTTACTACGAGTTCGAAAAACCGGTTTTTCCTCTCCCCGTAAAACTTGGATGCGTGGCTGGCATCCTCCCGCCGATCGTATCGATCACTCGACTATTCGAACCAAAATATATACGAAACGTGAATAAAACCGACTTGGAATCGAATGTCCCGTGAGACTGTTCTTAGGGAAATCGTGTCACAGGTTTCTAGTTGAAATTAACACGTTCACATCGGCGCTGTAATTTCCACTCTTTCCCATTTGGCTGAATTCTCGAAATTGATGAAAATATTGAAATGATCGGTAAGTTAATTAATTCTCAACTGGCAATGTTTTCTAATTACCAAACTTGACGACTAATGTGATATCTTGTGAGCCACCGGTGGTACACGTCGACGTCAACGTGTTAATTTCAGTCACTCTGTTCGTTGACGGTTGTGTTAACGATCGGAACTGTCACATGTCGATTCTCGTAACGATTCTCGAGGATTTGGACGATCAGAATTAGGTTACGGTTTCGAGAAGAAAAATCGTTTGATTAAAGTGGGGATTATCGGTAATGGTAACCAAAGTGAGTACCATTTTTCAGCACTGTTTCCAACGATTTATTACAACCGACGGTATACACCTGACCCTCGATTTACACGGAATCCCTTCCACGTGGGTTCGTTTCACACGAACGAAAATCGCGTAAATAGAGCCTGTCGGTGCGAGAGAAAATAAAATATCGAAGAGAAAAGCTCGTGTATGTTTTTGAAATACATATTCATTTCATGATTTTAAATAAAAATATTTAGTAACATAAGTAGCTAGATTATATATTATAATTTATATCATATATTATTAATACGATTAATATGCAATTCCTATAAAAATTGTAACAATAGATTATTATTTTCAGTTTCTTCAGACATTCATTCTAGTACTCCAGTGAAACTACTTATTTTCAAAATCATTTCGAATATTCAATGCTTCTAAGGTATCAATAATTGCTAAGCAAAAAAATCGAAACCAGTCATTTTGACTGGTAGTTCCAGAGCTAAAGAAATAAATAGTCCATCGTTGAAACAGTTGACACCATTTAGAGTTTCAACCCTTAAAATGCTGAATGGGGTCCAATAGGGAGCCCAGAAAGTAATTCCCCTTAACTTTGTAAGTAATTTTTAATTTTTCATATTTCATGTATTTCCTCTGTTTTCATCAAGTATTGTGGATGATTTGTCTATTCTAATAACATCACCGTTATTTTATTTTCAGCTATGAACATGCTGGGCTCTCCAGGGGAATTATCAAGGAAAAATACTTTCTAAGCTCCCTATAGGACCCCACTCAGCATTTTAACACGTTGAATACCATGGGGTTCACCGGTGACCCCCCACCAAATCGAATTACTATAGTTCACTCAATTAACCCCTTGCGCTGGAAAGATGTGCCACACACGTCGAGACGTTTCTGTTTCAAAATGATCAACGATGTCTTTTACACATTGATAATCTTGTTGCATTACTTATATCAGATTGTTTCGAAATCTATCACTCTATACAAAATGATTAACAAACCAAATTAATGTCTGCGTAAAACAGGTAATAAACAACATTCGTTGCGCGAGACTCAAATTTCGAAATTCATTTCCAGCGCAAGTGGTTAAACCATGATTATTTTCCAATTTCATCTCGCTAGAATGCAAGAAATAACAAAACTTTGGTAAACAATACCACTCAAAATATAAATGGCAATGGGAATAGCTTCATATAATATAGGCTTGTAGAGCAGTAATTTTTTCAAGAATTAGGAGGCTCCAGAATAAGAGGCGCAATCGAGGCTAGCGTTAGGTAACTTCATATATTTATAATTATATTTATCGATAATCCCCGGTTTAATTAAACGATTTTTTGGTTCCAGGTGTGAAGCGTGTCGACGGACTCGCCCAGCGAACAGTAATTTTTTGAGAATTAGGAGGCTCGATAATTAGGGGGCTCGATAATTAGGAGACTCGAGAATAAGAGGCGCAATCGAGATTAACGTTAGGTAACTTCATACATTTATAAATATATTTACCTATAATCCCCGGTTTAATTAAACGATTTTTTGGTTCCAAGTGTGAAGCGTTTCAATGGACTCGTCGAGCAAGCAGTAATTTTTTCAAGAATTAGGAAGCTCGAGAATAAGAGGCGCAATCGAGGTTAGCGTTACCGATAATCTCCGGTTTAATTAACCGATTTTTTGGTACCAGGTGTGAAGCGTTTCAACGGACTCGCCGAGCGAGCAGTAATTTTTTCAAGAATTAGGAGGCTCGAAAATAAGAGGCGCAATCGAGGTTAGCGTTTCCGCCGACGGGGCCCCGGTCTCTTTCGGTTCTCGAAAAGTCCCTGATCGGCTTACTACACAGACGCCGCGCGCGACCGGGAACCGGTTTCGTGAAAGATTGCGCGCCACGCGAGAGCTCGTCCCGTGTTTATTTCGTTTGCCGGCGTACGATCCTCCGAGCCTTCGTCACTTCTCCGCCAAGCGGAATAGGGATTCAAGAAGAAAACGCATCCCCGAGTATTTTTGCTCGGCGACCACGCACCGCTTCGCCCGATGCAATCTTCTTCCCTTGTCGTTTTGTGAACTATCTGTACCTTAGTACAGTAATTCTAAGAAACTAGGAATTGGTCGTTTCGATCCATCTGGTAGTTCTGGTGTTAAAGACTTTCATAATTTCGACGATGAAATAAAATTAACACGTTCACACCGGCGTGTACCACCGGTGGCTCACAGTAAGGTATCACATTGGACAGTGTGTACCATTGATGGCTTACTAGACGGTGTGTAGCATCAAATATGTGGCTCGTCGAATGGTTTGGTAATTAGAAAACATTGCCATATAGTTGGAAATTAATTTACTTATTGATCAATATTTTTATCAATTTTCAGAATTCAACCGCCAAATGGGAAAGAGTGGAAATTACAGCGCCGTGAACGTGTTAAATGAGATGTCTATATTCGACGCTGCAATGAATTTTTCGTAGTTCCAGCGTTACAAATGAAACGGTGCGTCGAAATTTGTTAAAATTCGCGTGCGTTCTGTGACTTCATAACAATCTCATTTTCCGCAGACGTTCACGTTTTTCCATTTGACCGAATTACGGAGTGAGGAAATATTCAACGATCCACCGTTTCGGTTTCGAAAGACTCTCTTTTGCTGGTAGTCTCCTTAAGGTAAGAACATTTTTAATAATATTAACCCTTTACACTCGAGAGGTGTCACCACTTACAGTAAAACCATAAAATCTAATATACCTTGAATAACTCATCAATGTAAAAAACATTAAACTAAAATATCCTCTATCTCATCAGAAGACGCTCAAACATTTCTACCAAGAAACTTCAAGTTTCGGATGTTTCTTACTAGAAATATTTAACATTTCTTTACGAGGAAAAGCCGATGTTCTTTGAGACTAATTCGAAGAGAAATCACCAGTACATTGAGGATCAAAGCTGTTTTACTCCAATGTTATACAAACTTTACCATTAAATATCACATTCTATAGTTTTACTGTGTCAAATCAAGTGACTGAGAGTCGCCTCTCGAGTGCAAAGGGTTAATAAAACTCGGTAAAATCCAACGAAACAGAAATTTCAAATTCCACCCTTAACACTCAGGTGACTTATTTCCATCTACACCGGCAGCTCCACCGCACGCAGGTATTAGAAGAGGACCGCACGTCGAATTTCACGCGTGCTGATGCACGGATTTAGGCCCGTGCGTCGTCGAAATAGCCGTGCATCGTTGGAAGAGGGTTAATTGCACCGTGACTCAAAGGGACCATCAACGACGGCTCGTCCACGGTTAAATATAAAGCTTTGCTACCCGCAAAGGTCATGGGTCCTCCGCGTCTACCCTCGACCAGGGACACCTCCGGTTGCCACGCGAAACGAGAGGATCCCATCGGTTTCGCGTCGTCGCCAAAATCGTGCGCGGTGAAATTCGAATTTCACCGGGCGAAAGAAAAATCGCTGCGTCCACCGGCTAACGGTGAATTCCGCTCGATAGCCGGTGCGGTGCGTTCTCGCGCGAGGGATTTTTAAAAAGTCGGACAGCCTAGGCTCAGCACGCGATACAGCGAGTCGCGCTCGGCTAGCGGGGAGCGGAGAAAGCGGCGGGCGAGAGAGACGCTTCCATGCAAAAACGACTACGCGCCTGTTGCAGGACTAGAATTAGATCTAGAATGGTACTTCTCAATCACGCCTGCCCGGGGATTCACCGGCGAACGGTACAAAGCTGCGACGAGAATACGGTTCGTCGTGAACGTTCCATGGATGGCGTCGGGGGACAAGAAAAAAATCACTGTCCCCGGATCTATTATTTTGTAATTACCGGGACTCATAAAGGCAGCGAGACCCGACGATGTTTTTAAGACGACTGCATTTACATAATGCGATCAGCGTGCAACGGAGATTAGAAAACGTACGTTCTTGGAATTAGTATGATCGGTTACATAAGTATTTGAAATAATCGGTGCTTTTTCTAGCGCTCTATCATCAGCTCCCTCGGGCGATCAACGGTTCTGTCCAACAGCGTTCCCAGTACCGAAAAGACAATAATAATTGTTCCCGGTATCACGTTCGCATTCCGGGAACAGAAAGCAGCCAACAAAGAGGATAGCTGGACTCTAATTGCGAGCCACGAAATATAAACTAAGATACACGTGACAAAGGGGTCGCGGGAGGAAAGAGATTCAATTGCCATGGTCCGCGCGAGCAAACAAATCTCCATTGAAACGACGGGACAAAAGCGGGTGAGCGGGTGTCTGACTTAGTGTAATTGGTAATTAAAGTTCACGGAATGAGGTTGTTAATTGAACACTGCTTTTCATCGCATTCTGAACTCAACTCGGATGCCAGCGTTCAAAGGCAGAACGGTGATCCAACCTGCTGGCTAAAACGTTGGAATACCGTTCAAGCATGCGTTCACCGACAAAACTAACATGAGTTACATTTCCAGTTACTCTGAAAGCGACTCCCACGCCTGATCCAGGTGCCAACCGCGACGCGGCGCGACGCCGCCGTCCGAAACTTTTTCAACAGGTAATATCGAGTACCGTTCAATCAACCGGACCAAAAGGAACTCTTCCAAAGGCGAGCATAAGCCAGCCTCGAAGGAATCCTTTCATGTTTTCAAAACACCTTGTAACCCTATACGTGCACGACCCGCTCCGCCACCGGTGACATAAGTTAAATGGATCACTTACCCAGCCTGATGGCGGCCACCTGCGGGACGCCGGCGAGCACAAGGATCACCGGAAGTCCAGCGAGGATCAGGCGCAGAGTTCTCGTCCCGAGGGTATTCCCGGAAGCGCGTTTACCACCAAGGAGGAGCGTGCGTGGCCGGCGTGGCCCCGCAGCCACTGCCATCGCACCCGATCCTTCTCACCGCGCGCGCGCGCACCGTTCCAACACTTCAATGTCGTTTCCACTTGTTCCCCGCGCACCAACCGACCGACTCCGTGTGCCACGACGGCTGCTGCGCCTCTGCCCGGCGGTGGGACGGTCGTTCCTCCAGGGGTGCGCGGCGCGAGGAGGAGGCCTCGACGCGGTGGATCCTCGCCAAGGGAAAAGGAGAGGAAAGGGACAAGGGAAAAGGATTTTCTCTTCCTCTCACCGGCGCTATTACTCTCTCGCG